CCATTTTGCTGGCTCTGAGGTCAGAACCAGTAATACACCAAAGATCATTTATTGAATCCTGCTCTTCTTCTAAATCCATTAAAGACCAAGATAGTACTCTTCCTAATATCATAGACAGCCTCCCAGAGAAAGATTTGAAGGGGGCGGGGTGGTGGCAAACCACTTTAGACATGTATGGGGAGACAGCTCCCGAAAACCCATCAGGCATCTTTTCCCAGCATTGAGGACCAAAGTTGGGTAAGAAAAGTCCCAGTGACTCTCTCCCTTTATGTGTCATCCCTTACACTGTTTATTCCTCTCTTACGTATCCCAATTCCCTTTTCACCCTGAGAATGTTCTTCCCATGCTGTTTGCCTCCCAGGGTGCTTCCCAGGATGACTAAAAAGAAAGAAAAAAAAAACAAAGACAAAAAATCACTTCCAACAATGGAGTTAAGATGCCTGCTTTTAGAATTCCTTTCACATACTGTGTTATAAATCATACCAGTGCAATCAACCATATTAACTGAAAGCAGGACTTTTGTACAATTACTACATTTAATCTCAGAAGTATTAGCGCGTATAATCTTTATGCCTTTGTTTACCTAGAATAAGAAGTGAAAGTATTTGGGATTTTGTTTTTGTTGTTTTATTTTGTGGTTGTTGGTAGTGAAATCATATCTCTATGCTGCCTTCATTTATAAACTACTGGCCCAATATAAGTAAGAGACAAACATGCAAGCACAGTATGCATCTTTTTGTACACAGTTTTTTCAATGCAATAATAATGATAATAATAATAATAATGGTGACTATAATTATTTATCAAACATATACTATGGGCCAAGCACTCTTCTGAGTTCTATATGTGCCTGATCTCATTTAATCGTCAATAATACTACACAGTAGGTATTATTATTATTAGCCCCCTTTTAGAGAAACAAGAACATAGATGAATTTTCTAAAATCCCAAATTTCTAATCTGAAATATGAACACAGGAAGATCCTGTGCTCTGAAAAGTCCATGTACTACCTCATAAAATAAAAATTTGATATTGATGAATGAATAAAAATTTCACTCTGATGTCTTGGTTCTTTATCATTTGGCTCTCCAGCTTCTCACATATACAACCTTCTAAATTATGTACATGATGAAAACATGCACTCGTGTCTTTTTGCATCCCAAGTGCTAATTCATATACCAGTCAAGACCAGTAGTTGGTCTGTTACTGTAAGAAATTTTTAAAGCAGAGAGTTATAAAAATGATATATATTTTCTGTACCTCTAGAGAGGTATTTTATATGTAAATCTGCAGGCTTTCACGCAGTTTTTGATGGAGAACCAAGACTTTCTCTTTGACTATGTGTCCACTATATTGAAATTGCAGTTGTCCTTACATCCACCACACCTACATTTCATTGTCTACAACTGCCAGTGCTAGGGTGTTTTTTATCGTGGAAATGACTTGGGCACTTGGAAGCATTCTGAGTTGAAAATCTTTCAGATACGTTATCATTTTCTTTTTGAATCTTTACAGTTGCATCTCCCCTACTTAATTTAACAGAAATCAATGTGAAAGCCAAGAAAATCAGTTATTTTGGGTTTGATATATAAAACTGCACTTCCCTCCACTGTTTATCAGACTTAAATTCCAGATTTTCTATTTAAAGGTGGCAATCCAAATTTGGTTATTATTTAAACAGTGTCTGGGGAAATTATACTTGCATTTTCTTAAATGTCAAATATAAATATTTCTATTATAAGGAGAGCCTACGAAGTAGAATGTTTTCTATTGCTTGGTTACTTTTTTTCTTTAAACGAAAAGATTTGTTTGATCTGCTCCATAAAAAGACTCAACTGTGGTTTTATGCTTAGTATAGTTCATTACTGCACTCAAAGATGATTTCAGGCTGTTAGCTTAATACTTTCCTTTAAAGTAACTTTCGTATAAACTTTACCTTCAGTATTTGTTATCACTATCCAAGATTTCATGAGTTAAATGAAATATTTCTGAGTATTACTTGGTATACTTAGAAATTCAGTGGTACTATTGAAAGTCGAATAGGTGTGGGACTGCCCTCTGTGAGAGTCAGTCCATTGTTTCATGTTATACATCATATGTGAGAAAACTCTGCCATCCACCAAAGCCCCTCTCCCCAAAATCCCTGCATGGTGACCCCCTAGACATGCCTGCATCTTTGTTATTTGCCTGCTGTTTACTGAAATATGTCCAGTCTGTCTTCCAGGCTTTCAGCATTTTATGTGTGGTTAGTCTTGGCGATTCCTTGGCAGATGGATCTGATTGTTGGTTTAAGATTTCATGCTTCATTGAAGCCTCTGGCTATTTGAGTCAGAAAGTGGTGATAATGTCTTATGTGCGATACAACTTTTTACTGTTATACCAATAAGCCAATAAAGCAAAGACTTGACTTACTAATAGCGGGAAGAGTTTCAATGGTAAAAGTATTCACTTTGGTTTCTTAGCCAATTCCGATATGGTTAAATACTTCTTACTGGCTTGAATAATGCTTTTTTTTTTTACTTAAAGAATTTTGCTTTCACAAAGGCTTTAGCACAAGTGTTATTGAAATATGTAATGTGCTTATTTCCTAAATTTTTATGTTAACACTGACTGACTTATGAGGATAGTTCTGTTTCTATTTTAGCTTGAAATTTTTAATGTTTTGGAGTATAAGAAATACATCTATTACTTTAAAAATATATAAAATTAAAGAATTATGAAAACACTGCTCTCTCACCAATGATTTATGTAAAAATTATAATTCTATCAGTAAAAATATAATTCTAACTATCAGTGAACATGCTCTACTTTTTCAGATTGTAAGTTT